TCACCTGGAGAACTTGTACCTGCCAGGAATCAATTAACTAACAGTGGTTGGGAAGAGCAAAACCAGGGCAGAGTGAGCCCTGTGAAGGAGTCAAGCTGAACATCAGGAGGAACTTTCCTGTGAGGGTGCCCAGGCTGCCCAGGGAGGTGATGGAGTCTCCATCCCTGGGGACATCCCAAACCCCCTGGATGTGTTCCTGTGGGATCTGCTGGAGGTGACCCTGCTCCAGCAGGGGGCTGGGCTGGATGATCCCCAGAGCTCCTTTCCAGCCCCACCACTCTGTTACTCTGTGGTTTAGGAGGTCTCTTCACTGAGTAGATTCAGTGGGGTTTGGAATCTGCCATTTCTCCACCTTCAGGAGCTTCAGCTGAGTCCTTGATGCTGAAGAAGGAGGGAATTTGTCTCTGACATCAGGGTCAAGGTTTAAGGCTGGGCTGGCAATTAAACACCTGACAGATGCCTCTGCTAACCCTCCCCAGAAAGGGAAAGGGAAAAGTAAAATTACTAAACAGAAATTTGGGTCTGTCCTGGCTCAAACCAGGACATTCACTGTGTCATTTAGTGCCCTCCTGGGAGTCTTTCTTCTTCAAGTATCTGGGCAAGGGCAGAAGGGGAGTAAAGACTTGTCATCCAGTTGTAGAATTGTTTGGCTTGGGAAGGGACCTTAAATCCCATCCAGTCCCACCCCTGCATGGGCAGGGACACCTCCTGCCAGCCCAGGCTGCTCCAAGCCCCATCCAGCCTGGCCTGGAACACTTCCAGGGATGTGGTTGTGTGTGTTTGTGCAGCATTCAGGGAACAGTCATTTCACCTGTGGGGCTTGATGGAGCTCAGGAGGATGCTTCAGGGAGAGTTTCAGAGAGCATGCAGAGTGTGGCCATCATTTTTGTAAAGGATAATGAGTTATAAACAGGATGGAGAAGACACTCATGGCAATATGAGTAGGAAAAATCCAGAAATGAGGTACCCAGTGGGAAGGAACATGGGGGATGGATGGATGTGAAGAACTGAACAAATTCCTTAAAGTGAGCAGAGACAATAGTCATGGGTCAGTGTGTTTTGTTGCTGTGATGGAGTTTGGATCATTTTGTGCTTTAATGTATTGAACAGAAAACAAGCAGCTCCCCTCCCTGTCTGGGTGTGGTACCATTTCATTTGGGGTAGCCAATATTTTGAAAAGCAGCAACAAACAACAAGGTCTTTAAATTGCTTCAGCTTTGCAGGCAACTGATGCACCTGCAGCAGGTCACACTGTCCAGGGTTTGTTAACTCTGACATTTTGTGCATGAACTAATTCCTGTGTCCACAAGTCAAACCCTTAACTGAAAAATGTCTGTGTCAGGGTGGCATCTGGAGACCTTGGCTGGGCTGGGGAATCCACTGAGCTGGGCAAAGTGCAGGAGCAAGAGACCTTGAGATTGGACAGGAAGAACCTGCCCAGGGCTCAGCTGAGCTGTGTTGATGTGTTGCTGAGGGAGCAGCTGGAGGAGACTCCAGTGACTCCCCCTTCCCAGGGGAAAATGCTGGGTTAGTGAAGAGGTTGCAAAGGTTGTGCTGCTAATGTGGCTGGTGCTCAGTTCAGATGGCACCTGAAGCCTCATCATGTGCTGTGTCCACCTCTGGGGTCCCCAGCACAGGAAGGACATGGAGCTCCTGGAGAAATTCTAGAGGAGGCCCCGGAGATGCTGGGAGGGCTGGAGCAGCTCTGGAGCCAGGCTGGGAGAGTTGGGGTGTTGAGCCTGGAGAAGAGAAGGCTCCACTAACAGTGGTTGGGAAGAGCAAAACCAGGGCAGAGTGAGTCCTGTGAAGGAGTCAAGCTGAACATCAGGAGGAACTTTCCTGTGAGGGTGCCCAGGCTGCCCAGGGAGGTGATGGAGTCTCCATCCCTGGGGACATCCCAAACCCCCTGGATGTGTTCCTGTGGGATCTGCTGGAGGTGACCCTGCTCCAGCAGGGGGCTGGGCTGGATGATCCCCAGAGCTCCTTTCCAGCCCCACCACTCTGTTACTCTGTGGTTTAGGAGGTCTCTTCACTGAGTAGATTCAGTGGGGTTTGGAATCTGCCATTTCTCCACCTTCAGGAGCTTCAGCTGAGTCCTTGATGCTGAAGAAGGAGGGAATTTGTCTCTGACATCAGGGTCAAGGTTTAAGGCTGGGCTGGCAATTAAACACCTGACAGATGCCTCTGCTAACCCTCCCCAGAAAGGGAAAGGGAAAAGTAAAATTACTAAACAGAAATTTGGGTCTGTCCTGGCTCAAACCAGGACATTCACTGTGTCATTTAGTGCCCTCCTGGGAGTCTTTCTTCTTCAAGTATCTGGGCAAGGGCAGAAGGGGAGTAAAGACTTGTCATCCAGTTGTAGAATTGTTTGGCTTGGGAAGGGACCTTAAATCCCATCCAGTCCCACCCCTGCATGGGCAGGGACACCTCCTGCCAGCCCAGGCTGCTCCAAGCCCCATCCAGCCTGGCCTGGAACACTTCCAGGGATGTGGTTGTGTGTGTTTGTGCAGCATTCAGGGAACAGTCATTTCACCTGTGGGGCTTGATGGAGCTCAGGAGGATGCTTCAGGGAGAGTTTCAGAGAGCATGCAGAGTGTGGCCATCATTTTTGTAAAGGATAATGAGTTATAAACAGGATGGAGAAGACACTCATGGCAATATGAGTAGGAAAAATCCAGAAATGAGGTACCCAGTGGGAAGGAACATGGGGGATGGATGGATGTGAAGAACTGAACAAATTCCTTAAAGTGAGCAGAGACAATAGTCATGGGTCAGTGTGTTTTGTTGCTGTGATGGAGTTTGGATCATTTTGTGCTTTAATGTATTGAACAGAAAACAAGCAGCTCCCCTCCCTGTCTGGGTGTGGTACCATTTCATTTGGGGTAGCCAATATTTTGAAAAGCAGCAACAAACAACAAGGTCTTTAAATTGCTTCAGCTTTGCAGGCAACTGATGCACCTGCAGCAGGTCACACTGTCCAGGGTTTGTTAACTCTGACATTTTGTGCATGAACTAATTCCTGTGTCCACAAGTCAAACCCTTAACTGAAAAATGTCTGTGTCAGGGTGGCATCTGGAGACCTTGGCTGGGCTGGGGAATCCACTGAGCTGGGCAAAGTGCAGGAGCAAGAGACCTTGAGATTGGACAGGAAGAACCTGCCCAGGGCTCAGCTGAGCTGTGTTGATGTGTTGCTGAGGGAGCAGCTGGAGGAGACTCCAGTGACTCCCCCTTCCCAGGGGAAAATGCTGGGGTAGTGAAGAGGTTGCAAAGGTTGTGCTGCTAATGTGGCTGGTGCTCAGTTCAGATGGCACCTGAAGCCTCATCATGTGCTGTGTCCACCTCTGGGGTCCCCAGCACAGGAAGGACATGGAGCTCCTGGAGAAATTCTAGAGGAGGCCCCGGAGATGCTGGGAGGGCTGGAGCAGCTCTGGAGCCAGGCTGGGAGAGTTGGGGTGTTGAGCCTGGAGAAGAGAAGGCTCCAGGGAGACCTGAGAGCAGCTTCCAGTGCCTGAAGGGGCTCCAGGAAAGCTGGGGAGGGGCTTGGGACAAGGGCAGGGAGGGATGGGAGCAGGGGGAAGGGTTTCCAGCTGGCAGAGGGAGCTGGAGCTGAGATGGGAGGGAGAAATTCTGGGCTGTGAGGGTGGGGAGAGCCTGGCCCAGGTTGTCCAGGGAAGCTGTGGCTGGCCCATCCCTGGGGGTGTTGAAGGGCAGGTTGGATGGGGCTTGGAGCAGCCTGGGCTGCTGGGAGGTGTCCCTGCGGGTGGGACTGGGTGGGCTTTGAGGTCCCTCCAACCCAAACCATTCTACTATCCTGTGATTTTCTGCTTCTGCTGCCACAGTTCTTGTCTTTTGGTCAGGGGCTTTTCAATCCCACTTTGAGTTTGATCTGCAGTTCTGTAGCACTCAGAGATAAACCCCTGCTCATTTTCCTGGGTAGCTCAGTAAAAACAGACTTAATTTTGTGCTGCACTGGTGAGGTATAAATTGCCCATCGTGTGACAAGCCCAGGTGACACCTGGTTTGTGTAGGAGAGCTGTAAATCCTCAGTTATATGGGAGTTAAATCCATTCTGGCAAATGGTTGAAAGCTTTAAATATAAGGGAAGGAGAGAAATGAAGTCAGACACTGAAGAGGAGTGTGGGTTTCTCCCCTG